TCAATTAAACTCTCTCTTTTTTAAAAATAATCGTAGTATTTATCTATGAACTAAAAAAAAGTTGTAAAAAAAGTTGCTCCATGTACTCCATGTTTCATAAGCTTGTTTCTAACAAGCTCATGCTTTAAAGCTCAATACTGTTTTAAGGCATTTACTAAAAAAAAATCTACTTTAAGTTTTATGTGAACAAACTTTTTTCAACATGTTTTAGAATGAATCTGGATTTGTTCTTCCAGACAAATGTCTTAAAAGTGAATTCTCCATTCAGCAAGTATCAACGACATAACTGAATCTGCAAAGTTACAAAAAAAGGTGGAAGTTTACACAAAATAAATTATGATCCTCACTATGTTAGGATGTTTTAAATGTGGACTGATATGTTAAGAAATAAGGCTTCACCTTTCCAACTCAACTCCTTCAGACTAGTGGCAGCAGCAAATAGCAAACAATGGGTGGAACTGTGTGTCTGCTGAGCTCATCAAACAAACTACTTCTTTGTCCAACACTCACAAGAACGACATAACGAGAAACGGCATAACAAGAAGCATTGTTATGATGATGTGCTGAAGGCGGCATTTCGGAAAGAGTAGGAGCTTCTTAAAGAGATAGTTGCAAAATTTCAAGGGGTCAAATTACTTTTAAGTTATGTTTGAATTATACAGTAATTTTATAACAACTGAAAATAACACAGTTAATTAGTTGTGCTATAAAATGACACTATGTGCCTGGAAAATACATAACAGCCTGTCTTTAAATCAATGTAAAATAGTACAAGAATTAATATTTTGTGCTGCTAAATCATTGTCAGGTTTCAATATGAGCTTCAAAATCCAAGCAAAAGAGGAACGGGAGCCAAAAAATTTAGATTAGGGAGTACAATGCAGGCTATTTATAGGTTGATTAATGGCCTTGTCACCCCCCAAAAATAGGAGACAACTAAAAAAAATATGAAATTGGTCCACTTGTATTACATTTCCTGTTTTTAATCAGAAGCACCCTGAGCCTTAAAGTAAGGCTTAGTCATTTAGGCATCCGCTTTGTGAACCGCAACTCTTAAGTCCTGAGACAGCAGCTGTTAAGAGTGAAGACAGGATGTAGAAAACCTGAATTTATTGAAGGCTGAAAAACAGCATCATTTAGATCACAAGTCCAGTTGTGATATAAATCAACTGTGCATATCTAAGTCTGCATGTCAGTCATGGAAAGGAAGATGAACAGAGAGGCAAAGGCGCAACCAGAGTAAAGTAAATGTAGTAACAGATCCCAGTAAACACAAGGGAGGAGAGAAAGTGAGTGGGGGAAAAAATACTAAAGATCTGAATGAAAGATGATGAAAGAAAGAGTTCATAGATCTTAAGCAAAAGCTTTTGTCATCGGGAGTGACAGGCGACCAGAAATACTTTGCATATCATTAAATTTACATGCACTCCTGAAGCCACAATCAAAGGGATCGGTATTCAGTTTGTGTTCACTGCTAAATTCACAGCAACATCACCTTTTGCCCCGCAGTGACTCATCAGCATACTCAATACTTTTATTTTTAATTGGGAAGTTCGGAAATGTTAAACTTTTGGTGCCCTCTGAGATGTTTCCCTCACCAATTTGTCACAAGCTGCTGCCGTTAATGTTGTCGACATTAAGAAACAAGTTATTAATTTCAAATATTAGCATTTTAAATGTCATGGGAAAATTGTGACTCGATGTCACATATGGCTATAGCTTTCAGGAAAACTCCCCAAACATCTGGTAGACTTCAACATAATGAAAATGACGAAATAGGTGATGAAAGGGGCTGAAATTTTTTTTTTTGCCACTCGCGACGGCTGAAATGAAGCTCCTCCAGAACTACCACTGCCTTTTTGACCGCGTCTCTGGACGATGCTCTCCCTCACTGACCTCTCTGTTTTGGTAAACAGCCCACTTCCTTTGTCACAAGTTAGGAGTTGCGACAATATTCTTTCCATTTTTGGGTTGGCGATGAATGAAACAGCAGTTAATAAGATGTCATAATCAAATTCTGCTTAAAACTTCTAAATAGGTTTATCCCTGTCACATTTTCTGGTTTTTAGTGTCGTGTTTGATCTCGGATGTTCTCCAAGGAACCTCCGACACTTTCAGGAAACAGCTGAATTTACTGAGCCTAAATGAATACTATACCTTATTGGAATTAAGTGGCTGCTGGCAACTGGATGGCCCAAGTGTTTCTGTCAACAGTGCAATTGCTGGGAGGAGCAATGTTTTAAGCTATATGTTAATGCAAAGTTATCCCAAGCATTACAAAACCCTTTTTGTCTTTGGTTTTAAGTGTGCATTTACTAGATGATGTAATTAAACAGCCAGAGAGACATAACACATAGTCATCTACAGTAACTGCACTGCTGATTAAACTCATTTAAGGGACACTGAAAGGCAATGCAGTTCCTGATCCTAATTAGGACCTAACAAAATGACTTCCAGATAACTGCTTTCCCCAGCTTATTGAGATATGAGTACACTCTGTACTTTTTTGTTGTTGTTGGTTTTGTTTTTTTGGTACAGAAAAATTGGATCTTGCCTAAACCACACACGGATGCTTGGAAATAATGATAAAAAAGTACATTTATGGCCTTCACAATAGAAAATGGCCTTTAGTAGTGATGTCTGCACCGATGTAGCATGCTCACATACGACCCTTTATGAATTGGTTTATTCATCTTGTTAATATGTGCCGTGTAATGATGCATATGAAAAGCAATAAGCGGAGCAGCGGAGGGTGAGCTTGAGGAGCATCGCTGATGACTTGGGGTTACAAGGAGATTGAAATACCCCCAATGGGAACACATTACACGCAGGAAATTTGCAATATGCTGCATTCAGCACACTGCCTTGCTACACATTTAATTTTCAGTGGCAGTAGGAGACGCAGACACGTCTTTTCTCCGTGGCAATCATTTCTCAGTTGCATTGTCCTCGTTGTACGTTTCTTATTATCTTTCCAAATTCACACTCTGTATTCTGAATGAGTGTGTCCATGTATAGGATCACAGAAAGTCCTGAAGGATGTGCTTTGGCCGTGCATCCTGCAGTGGAGCATCTTAAATTATTTACTTGCTATCCGTTTGAGCAGAGCTCCTCTTTTACACCTTACCAGCAGTAACATCTTTGCCTTGCCTCCATTCGCAGCCTGACGATAGCTGGTGGCTGACAGTGTGGGTAAATGTGTTACACCCACCTCCTCTCTGGGAACTCTTTCAGGAACAATTCACACCACTGCTGTTAGGGCCAATGACGACTGATTTTATACTATTACACCAAAACGTATCTTTTTGGGGGGGATGCTACTGTTTCTAATGCACAGTCAGCAGAATTTCTACACTAAGGCTGTGGATAATTTATATTAGCAGCAGACGATTTACAGTGCAACCCTGCTAGTTAAAACTTTGATTCACAGCTTATGTTTTAAGGGTGTTGTTTTCCTTTTCTCTAGGCTAATTCTCAGTTTGCATGCAGAAAGGATGCCATCATGTCCACACACATATTTTTATTTATTTATTTTTCATAAAAAGTTAAATAATGCCAATAATTCTTGCTATTAAAGGTTTAGGGCTATTTTTTTAATTCACTGGCTCAGACTTTCTTTACAGTCAGTCGATCAATTGAACTTTGTAACCTCTTTCGGAGAAGCATTGTGGTTCTTATTAATTGGCTGGACATACTTCCTCAGCCTTTTGCATCGTTTTGTTTTTTAGCTCATTTTAGCCTGGTGTTTTGTTTTAGTTTCGTTTGAATATTCATCTATGTGTGTTTCTCAAACATTTTATTGTGTGTGGCTATCATTCTGGGAATTCTTTTAAATAAACATATAATTTAATTTAAGCTCAGTAATTTTGAAATTTTGACAATCAAGTCGCCATCAGCGACATGTGTATTCTTGCAGAGTCAGAAACTGATGCCTGTTTCCAGTAATAAATAGACGAGAGGTGGGGTACACATTCGACAGGTTGCCGGTCCATCGCAGGGCAACACAGAGACCAATAGGACTCTGTTGTGCCCATGCACATGCAAGCACACGCAAGCACACATCCATAAGGATAATTTGGAGAGACCAATTAACGTAGCAGTCATGCTTTTGACCTTCAGGAGGAAGCCGGAGTACCCGGAGAGAACCCATGCATGCACAGGGAGAACATGCAAACTCCATGCAGCAAATTATTATACATCTGTAGAGTTGTTGAAACAGAAATGCACCAATGCCTTTCAACATTGGAAACAAACAACATCTCAAACTTTTTTATATCTATGGTAAAGCTGAAACTCCCTCTGATTTCTTAGTCTTCCAGTGTCGATGCGACAGTCTGCAGCTCAGGCTTCTACATCCCTTTATTATAATAGGGAAGGACTCTCATTCTGAAATCTTGCATTCCAGTACTCTGATTTATTTCCTAAGGACTTCCTAATACTGAAACTTCACCTCTTTTTTCTGTTTCAAACTTTAATTGTTTGAGCTTGTGCCTGATCGGCTCCCCGGCAGGGATTTTGTTTTTTTGGAGGCGGGGGGTTTCCTAGCTTTAGGCATTATCTCCCAAACTAGGTTGCTATTTATGCCAGTTCACTGACACAATGTCTTAATTAATGGATAACAAAACATCTTGGAGGAGGCAGATGTGCTTGGCATGCCCTCTTCAGCTGTAATTTAGACTGATGCAGGAAAACCAAGCCATGTCAGGTCTTTCCCAAATTGAAATGTCAGCCATCATGTTAATTCCACTGAATCGGTGTAAGGGACGGAGAGACAGGCACGCAGTCGGGAATGGATGGAAATGACCCATTCTGCTCTCTCCTGCTTTGTTTTAATGCCCTGCACCCCTTTGAATTTTTAATCCGCTGCAGCTTTTCTAATTATTCTTTGTTGCCTACTTACTGTGCTGCTTTCACTCCCTGCCGCTCAACCAGACGCTCACCAGCCTCTCACTTTCTCTTCCCTCCCTGCCTCTTCTCTCTCTCTCTCGCTCTCTCTCCAGTGAGATGAAGCAGGAGCTCACAGAGGAAGGCAGCAGATGCTCCATCCTCTCCAAGCAGCATCGTTTCAACGAGCACTGCTGCATCCGCTGCTGCGCGCCCTTCACCTTCCTGTTCAACCCCAAGCGCCAGTGTCTGGATTGCCAGTACAACGTGTGCAAGACCTGCTGCACCTACAGCAAGAGGGACCGAGCCTGGCTTTGCTCAGCGTGCCAGAAGGGCAGGTTAGTGTTTGCTCACACACACACGGACACACACGCGTGCAGCGGTGACTGGAGGAATGAAGGGAGTTAGCACATGGGAGGGAAGCTGGGACGTTCCAACCAGAGGACGCCGGAGGAAAATTGTTAGTGGGAAGATAAGCTGGAATTATTAAGGCTGGTTTTGAAAAGTGAATGAAAGAGCGGAGGAGGCGGTCTGGTGTAAACGAGTCTTTTAAGGTTTTATAACGTCTCTAGGGTTTGGTTTTCTTCATTGTTTTCTAAAAGTGGCATCTAACTCACATTTTAATATTTCTTGTGATGCAAAGGTCAAAAGTAAACAAGGTTGTTGAGGGTCATCCAAACAGAAAGGGACTAGAATTGTCAGTAAACCTGAGGATGAAAGGCAGAGAGGGGTTAAATGAAATTTGAACAGCTCCAAAGCTAAATGTCATCTTCTGTTGTTCTTTTGTATTATTTTTTTTACATAACTTGATTGATTTATTTTTTTCTCCTTGGCTTTATTTATTCTGGCAGTCGTCAAATTGACTTTCTGTATCTTTGAAAATCGAGGTTTGCCAGAGAGAGGGGCGCAAACGATTTGGAGGAAAACAATCAGAGAAGCGAAACAGACCGGGGAATGTGCTGCTGCTGGTTGTTCATTCAAATGAGCTGTGTGTCTGTGCGCGTGTGCACGTATCTGTTTATCCCGTTTGTTCATGCATGACCATCCAAAAGCCTTGGGAGTCATTCTGCTCCAACTCAACAACGGATGAAAATATATTAAACTTTCTGTGTCTGTACAGGAGCGACGTGGTGTTGGGAATGCTGCCCACTTTCTTTTGGTTGATTTGTTCAAAAAATAAAAAACAAAAAATAAAAAAACACTTTGGAGAGTTGAATTAGAGGAGATTTGTATTATAGTTGGTATTTGACTTCACCAGTTCCCTCTGTCTCAGAGCCACAAAATTCATTGTCCGCCTTTGCAGTGAGGCTTAGAGTGAAATATAGAGCATTTTGATATCCCCAATGACATGTAAATGCCAGTGCAACTTGAGGTTTGCACTGGCAAACAGCGTCGACACATTTATGAAATGTTTAGCCTCACTGTCTCCCCTCGGTCCTCCGTCTCTTTCAGGTTTTCATTGATTTCTGCTGCTTGGCATGATGAGTTAGAACAGCTGCCCTTGGTTTTGCTATTTGACACATGGGAGGGAAAATAAAGCCAAAAGCCAGGGAGGAAAGAAAAGGAAAGGAATCATGTCAAAAAAAAAAAAAAAAAGGTGGCAAGGCTTGCATCGATCATCTTCGCCCTCACTCTCTTTCTCTCTTTCTGCCTGGGGGCTTCACAATTTTCTCATTATAGGTTCGGACGAAGACGCAGATGGGCCCTGTGTCACAACATCGCTGTCCACATTAAAACACGGCTCTTTTTATAAGTCCATTAAACCGGCTTAAGTCTGATTTTAGCCTGAATCGGCCTCTCTGAGTGGAGCCTCGTCATTTCGGGACAGCGATTTGTAGGTCGATCGAGGCTAAACGAGCTCCAAAAAGGATTTTTGGAAATTATGGTTTGTTAGTGTTCGAGTCAATGACTGCAAAGTAAAGACATTGATCTGATGCTAAATAGAATGTAGCTGCTCCACAGCAAGAACGAGCACAGTCATCATGCTGGAAATGCAATATTGAAAAAGTCATTTGTGTTAGTGGGTGATGTCAAGAGGAACATATCTACAGTAAATGTGAGACTGAATTACTTCAAAAAATCACAATGCGGACGCAAGCTCCTCTGTGTATATATATATATATATATTATATATATATATATATATATATATATTATATATATATATATATATATATATATATATATATATATATTTTTTTTTTGTTTTTTTGTTTTTTTTGTTTTTTTGTTTTTGTTTTTTGTTTTTTTTTGCTTGTTCGGAATCTTTTCAGGCCTTTCTCTGGAATTTTAATGTGAAAATTCATAACTCGCCAAATGGTGTCACTTGCCTGCACCGGCTGTCCTTCACCGCTTGGAGAGGCACATCAGTGCTGCTCGCCACCGCGAACCATCGAGGGAAAAGCAGATTTGTAATCATGGCACACATGGACTCGCTCGGAAGCTACAGTCAGCCACCTGCACATGGATGGATGCACACATGCCTGCGAGCAGAGAAACGATCATCAATGTGCATTAATCAGGTGCTAAACAGTTATAATTATGAGAGGAACCCATCATTGATTCTTTTTGATGTTTTGATTGTAACAAGATTTAAACCGGGGACGGCTCGGATGATGCAGATGGTGTCTGAAAAGCCGCACGCAGGCCTGCGCTACACAGAGATTTCCCTCCAGGACCAGGAAGATTCTGGAGTTTGCTTGAATTAATGGCTTCCTGAAGCCTTGGTCCACACAAACACACAAGACCCGCTCTTCTCTGGCTTAATCGCAGGAGTCAAAACATTTCTAGCCAGAAGTGAAAAGCTGTTTTCTTTTCTTATCTTGACTCCTCACCCAACGCAGTGAGCAAAATCCTAAAGGGGAAAGGAAAGAAAATGTAAAAGGAAGGTCAAAGGAAGGAGCGAGAGGGAGGGAAAGAGGATAAAAAAAGAAGTGGCAAAGGAGGAAATGACCGATTCCAATTATCCAGGAGTAAAAATGATATCAGCAAGAACTTACTTGTCCTTTTTTTGTTAAAAATTTCTTTATTTAACAAGTTAATACCTCTTTGTGTCCGTCTTTTACCTGTCCACATTTGCATTCAAGCGACAGCAACCCTCTATGCTTAATCTGCAGAAATGGGTGGGTACACTGTTCTATAGCCTGAGGACTCTATAAAGCTGTGAGCAGTCTATAAACAGCGTGCATGTGTTTGTGTGCACAGAAGTGGCAATAAACTAAAGTGACAAACTGCTTGTACCGTTTTCATAATCTTTTCCTAAAGCATTACTGTGAGGAGATTAGGGCATCTGCCGGAGGTCAACGGCATGCCACACATGTACACAAACACACGCAAAAACAGAGGGGCTTAAAAATCAGTATGTGTTCATGACGTACGTTCACAATCACCAGTCTCATATTAAAATGTATGTTATTTTTGCCACTAGAGGACGAAAAGTTAACTTTGTGCAGAATAACGGGAACAATAACATTATATACAGTCCGTTTTATTTTACATTATAGTTCTGAAAACACAGATTCCACATATAATTTGCACCTTTGCAACAGGCCAGCCTGCTTCACAATGCCAAGCTTCTGATTGGCCGGAGGTTTTAAGACACCACCTGAGGGTGCACTCTCAAATCCAGTCACTAGTTGTTGTAGCCAAGTAGTTACTTAACATGATGTGATCTCAAGAACTGCCAATGCCAAGTTCGTGTGACGTTCATTCATTGTTGAACAGTTCAAATAGATTCCACCACATGAGATTTAGGCTTTGACCTACTTTTGATTCACAGAGTCACATAACAAAATGCTGAGGAAACTTGATATAAACTGAGATGCGTTTTATGGTACATACAAATACAAGGTTGGCTGCTGCCACAGATTATTTTCACCATCTGTACCGTGGTGAGTTTTACATAGAAAATATGAGCCAAATGTAATATTACTAAATAGCTTCTTTCTGAACTTGTTTTTTGTGTGTGTGTTCACTATGACTCACGACTAACTGAAAGATTAGTCCATAACTGGTTGTGGACTGGTTGACTTTTATTTTTGTTCTAGTTGGTGAAAAATCAAAACTGCAGGGAACAAAATGCAACACTCAGACTTCCTTCTAGCATGCATGACATTTCATTGTTTTCCTGAACTTACTTAATCTCCATTCACTATGAACTTTAAGTGGAACAATTGAATTGCAGAATGAGTTAATAAGAGAATAACACTTTTACTCCAGCTTGCATGCCTTCTGCTTCTAAAGTCAGTTTACTGTATCGTTTTTTTTTTCTGTGTTGTGGCGATCATTTCAACACGCAGTTGACTAATGAGTTGTTTGATCATTTTCAATATTGGTGTTGCTTTAATTAATAATTGATGACTTATAGCTACAGGGATAAAATGTTCTTTGTTGGTGCTTCAAACATTCCTGAGATTGCAAACAGTAAAAAGCTAAGATAATTACACTGAGCTATCCATTAAGACATCATTTATGCGGTTAAGTAGAATATTAGTTTTCAGAACGACTCACAGTAAATGATATGTGTTTTCAAGAAAATTTCCTCTTGTTGCTTTATGTTTAATGACATGCCTGTGTTGCATATATTATTGTTTTTTTTCCCACAATTTATTTTTTGCTAATTAACAGGACATATTGTTCATTATGCTTTTTAGATTCCAAATTTAGGAGATCTATGTTGTCTGTCTTATCCTTGCCGGGCTAAAACATTGAAAAATTAAGTAAAACGAAGCCATATTCAAAAATGGCAGTATGCTTCTGAAGACACGGTCACTGTAAGTGCAATCAGCTGTCTCGCTTCTGTCAGTAGAGAACCTCTAGCGTGCAGAGGAAGCAAGTCACAGTGTGATCATTCTCTGTCCTCCGTGCAGATGTATTTTTATCAGTGTGGGCGAACAAGACTGGTCTCTGACACCTGAGGCTGAGCCCTGCAGCGCCAGCCTCCAGATGAAATATATGTACAGAGCTCCGGATTTTAATAAGACATCCAGCCGGCGTGTGTCTAACAGCTTGTCTGGTCTGTGCTTTTGTCATTTTAGCGGCGGTGGTGACAATGGAATGTGTGGCTTGCTGTTGTGTCTGCCTTTATTTTCTAACAATAAAAAAGCAAATCAAGCTGTAGGCCAAGCTGGAGAGTTGATTATTTCCTCCGTTTCATTTGAAGTATTATGTTGACGCACATAGGTGTGCGCATTCACAGTTACATGCAACAACAGCAAAAGAACTTTCCCAGTCAAAATCAAAAAGCTGACATAAATTAGTGTCTGAACCCCACAGACCTCTTGCCGGAAGCTTTTCTTCATATCGAAAAGAGCAGCTGTACCGAAATGCAAAGCCTTCA